TGAGGTGACTCTGCGCCATCGAGTTGATGATCGACACCAGAAAGTAGAGAATCATGGAGATGACGAACCACTCAAAGAGGGAGGAGATCCAGGAGCCCGCCTAGTGTGGAAGGGAGCACACACAGATGTACAAATTAAAATAAACTCGAAGCCATCAATCAGAGCTCAAAGCTCGCTCACCTTAGTGCCAACCGCCGCATTGGCCCCCTGATGCAGACTCTGCTTCTGCTGCTGCAGGTAGTCACGAATGGGGCCGTGAATGGAGTTGCCCACGTATGGAATGTTTCTGAAAAAATGGTGATAATAAAACGACGACGATGATGAGATATGACAGCAAAGTCAGCAAACAAACAAAAATCCCACTTACTTGCAAATGTCAAGCACCGTCTGGACGTACTTCTCATTGAAGACTATGATGACCACCAGCTTCTGAATGTGCATCTTGATGACGGCCTTGCCGATCAGAGTGGCGCCAAAGAAGGTCCAGAAGGAGATGAGCGAGTAGCCGCAGATGATGCCCGCCAGGTCAAAGAGGGGGTTGGGAATGGAGGCACAGGCGAGGATGCCGAAGAAGCCCATCCGCTTCATGAAGTGAATCATGTTGCCCTTCACCGTAGTGGCCACCGACTGACGGCGGCGGTTGGTGGTTGAAGGTGCTGAAGCGACCTGGTCCTGGTCCGTTTGCTGAACTTCGGAGGAGCCACTGTTTTCAGCTTCCGCCAGCTCCGGCACCAGGTCCTCCAGCTCCTCAAACTCCTCGAGCATGTCATTTTGCGAGTCGCCGGCGAGGCGGTGCGCCCGCGAGATAAAGTAGGGCGGCAGCTCGCCGAGGGCCGTCCCGGCGCCCCACATGAACGCCTCCAGGCGGACCTTCGACATGATCGACCAGACGGTGATGGCGCCAGCAGTGGCTGCCGCCGTTGATGATTCAACCGAGGGGCAGATGATTCTAAAAAGGTAAACAGGAGATTAGATCAATGATCTAATAGAAAAGATAGCCGATCAACAGCTGCTTCAGGCACATACTGGTCTGGATAGGGCGGCTCCGGAAAGTCCAGCGAGTTACACTCGTAAGCGGCTAGCGTTACTGAAGCGATATGTGGTCCCTGTAGAGGAGACAGAGAGAGACAAAGCAACCGAATTAGCAAACTGAGATACAGGCAAAAATCAAAACGCATCTGAAAAAGTGCCTACCAGATAGAGTATGAAGGTGTGCAGCCCGGTGCCCAGGCCGACGCTGGAGAGGACGCCCAGGAGGACCCACCAGGCGTACCAGAGAATCCTCTGGTAGAGGGCGGTGACGTAGGGCAGGTGGGGGCCGTCGACCTTCATCGATAGGAGAAATGCGGATATGAGCAGTGAGACGGCCAGACAGAGGGTGCTGTGCTTCAGGACCCTAAATGTGGTGGTTCGAAATGGGCGTAAAAAAAGAAGAAAAAAAGAGCATCAGAAACCAGTGATGCAATGAAGCAACAACAAATAGTGGTCCTCACCATTTGGTGCACTGAACGCCCAGGTCAAGCAGCTGCAGCGACGCGTGGTAGGCAGTCTTGATGGGCCGCTTCCAGAGGACCAACGACTCAATGTCCTTCTGTTGGGCGGAGGAGGAGGGGAGGGGAGACATGATCAGAAGAAGAGGTCGGTGGTTAGTAACGGGGACAAGGAAAATGAAGAAAAAGAAGCTGAGCTAGAACAGCTGCACAACAACAAAAACGACAACAGCTGAGAAATAACATGAACATCACTTTAGACAAACGTGGAGCAGCATCATCATCACCAGTGCCTGACTCAAGCTCACTCATCTGCAGACTAAGAGCTGCTGCTGCCGCTGCACTATCGCCGTACAGATGATTACAATGGCTTTTTGAGGTGTACGTCGTCGTTGCCGGCGTCGGCACAGGTTGAGAGAGGACGTTGTTTCCAAGTGCCTGCAGCTGGTGGTGGACAGCAGCAGCACTCTCTGAGGCCGTCTCATTACGAGTTGCACTACTACTACTACTATTGTCGCATTTGATTAGAGTCGGAGGTATGTCAATCAGAAGAAGACTGTCACCGGCCGCCGCCGCTGCCATTGAGGAGACTGTAGAGTGGTGGTGACTGGAACTAATCAGGTGACCCATTGAAGACGTCCTCCGGTGCAGACTTTGGCCGCCACAGTGACGGAAAGGGTGTGCACCCAGTGGAATAAGGCGCTGACTTGGCATGTGTAGGAGGTAGGTAAGTAGGCACTAGTATTTGTTTGATTAGGTGTGACGAAATGTAGCACAGAAACTTGACAGCAAAAGATCAGCAAGTGTCGCCAGAGTGTGAAGAAGCGGGCAATGACATTTTGCTAGCGGTGGAGAAAGAGAATTTCGCTAGTGGTAGTGGGTCACCGCAAAGTAGAACACTCAACTGAGAAAACTNCTTGACAGCAAAAGGTGTCTTAAGTGTGTTGAAAAGCGGGCAATGACATTTTGCTAGCGGTGGAGAAAGAGAATTCCGCTAGTGGTAGTGGGTCACCGCAAAGTAGAACACTCAACTGAGAAAACTTGTTTTGAAGGGCCTTCTTTTAAAAATAAAATCAATCGACAGTTTGGTGGCAGGTACTGCATGTTGGTTAGCTATTGGTCTGGTGAAAACTTTGCTGAAATCTGTGTGCTGTTTAAAACACGGCACAATGGTCTCAGCAGTAAATGAAACAAAAAACAGAATACTGAAAAATGAACTTAGGGAACTCGCGTGGGTAGGAGAAAGTCATTGGTATTTTGGGTTTACTTGGTGTTTAAAGTATCGACCCTCTCTTAGTTGTTGCTAAATTGGTCCACAGAAGGACCTTTAAAATTGGAGCTAAGGTAAATGCCTCGATTTTTAAGAAATCGACAAGTGACAGTGGGAGTACACTCTACTCTGCTGACACCGGTGCAGATTCCTCTTCTTCATATTTTTAGATATAGAAAAAAATGTACTATCCCAGCCAAGCGATCAATTCGTGCCCAGCAACACTCCTAAAACACTAGCACTTCTCCTCCGTTTCCAAGTGACTGTAGAGATCAATAAAGAACGAGCCTACGTTTGTTACCTAAAATCAACACAACCGTTTTCTTATTGTTAGTAACGGCACTTACCTTTTGCTCGTCACTCAACTGATGAGATGGTGTGTGGTGGGGCTTTTTGCTGCCATTTAGCGTGGAGCTAGAGCTATCATTGTCAGAGTGATGATTAGCTATTCCATTGGATGAAGCTGTTCCAGGGTTCCTCGAGCGCAAGTTGTAAGATGACATGGTTGGATGTGAGTAAATGAATGAGTGAACCTTAGCGCTGAACAATGATGATGTAGATGATGTAGATGAGGATGATGAGAGACAAGTCTGGCTATAAAAAGATGACAATGAAAAAGAGAATATTAGAAGAGGAATTGACTTTTAAACAGCGCGGATTACCGCTAAAACTTACCTAGAAATGATGGGCGATTAAAGCGAGTGATGAAAGCGGACCGGTGGATACTATTTAGTGCACCTCATCGAGTTGGGACTCTTCTGTCACAATTTTTAAACAAATAGAAGTTTTCGCGTACTGCTACGTACGCTATAACTTTGGGTGAAAAGTAATCGTTTGGATGAAGAAGCTACAGCACGTCATCAGCCGAAGTGAAGTGAAGTGACGGCGGCTGCGACAAGACTGGAGAAGAATAAGGAGAAGAAGAAGAATACGTGTACGTGTTGGTAGGAATCTGAAGTCGTCGGTTCTTCTTCTTTTACCTCTTCCTCGAATTAGCCTCAGTACACCCAAACACTGCTTGAGCTACGAGTACAGCTCTCCGCACTGGTGAAAAGAAGAAGTCTGTGAGTGTTGATGCCCCTCGTGATGATGATCACTGTGTAGCCGACTGGTGACAGCCAGTCT